CGTGATTCATCCACTGGGCGATCATTCAGGGTGAGGCGTGCAAATTCGCCGCATGCCTCGCGGTCGGACGCACGCTTGTCGGCTTAAAACGTTAAGGCGGATAAGCAGCCGCGACGAAAACGCGACGGGATGGATTTCGCGCGAGACGGAGAGACGGACACAGCGCCGTCGGACTGTCACGCGCGGCACGCGGCATGACTAATTAATCCGGAGCCCTACAAAGGGCTATTTCGGTCGATCGGCCGGTGATCGACTTAGCGACGCTCGCAATTATCGCGGCCGCGACGAATCCCGCCGTCGCGAATCAGCCGAGAAAAGCCGGCCGGCGTGATTTCGATCGCGCGTCTCTCCGCCGCCGCGCAGCGGCCGCGGCCGCAGCCGGTCGTTCCACCTCGCAGGTAAATTTATCTCGTTAATTGCGTCGCGATCGACCAATCGACGGGCCCGCGCCGCGCCATTGGTCCGCGGCGTGTGCCGGTAACGGTAGGTGAACGGTACCGTAAGGCCGATCCGGCCGGTTCCATATCGACGATATCGATAATCGGCTTTTCGACGACGCGCGGTTTCGTCAAGAGGCGAGCGAGCTCGTTGCGCGCCGCGCTCTCGTAACTTTCTCTCGCCCGCCGCGAGGAGTATCGACCGAATCTGCGCGAACTGCTTGCGATTTCCCACGGTACCCAGATTGGAAGGATGTCAATATTGATGGTAGAGAATGTGAACGGTGGATTTACATTCATTCCTCGCTTATCGCAATCAAGACCGATTGCCTCGTTTCCCGGTTGACGTAACAGTTTAACAGGGAAAAAAATATCGGCAACAATCGTATGCTGCGAAATGCTGCAAAACTTGACAAGATTATATCAATCTGGCGAATGGGAGATAATAAAGTTTTCAAGAATCGCGAGAATCTCATAGATACGTTACGCTAAAAATCGCCGGCTGTGATATCGCATGACAGAAGACCGTTTCCTCGATAATGCGTACATCTTCGAGCGGTGCAGCAGGGAAGAGAGAGAGAGAGAGAGAGAGAGAGAGAGAGAGAGAGAGAGATCAAACTCGAGTGTGATCTCGTCTCCGCGAAACTCGTGAGGAATATTATCGGGCAAGCCGTTATCGAGCGCACACACATTCCGCAGATAAAAGACAACCATTCTCCGCCTCTCCTTCTGCGTCCTGACAGGACGCGGCGCCCGCGTGGGCGTCGCGAAAGAATACAGGTGCGACTGTCTCGATAGAGGATGTCTCTATTGAAAAGCACCGTTCGTTTAAACTCCGCGTAGGATCGTCATTTCTCTGGATGGGAACAACGGAGGAGGCGCGCGCACGACGTGGGCTTGACGTACATCTCCATCGAGGCGCGTTTGTCATCGCGTCCGTAGAGATCGATGTTTCTCGCGAGCGACGGCGACGGTTGAAAGAATTAAACGACTAGCGGAATAATGGCCGCGCGTGAGCGACAATAACGAGAATCCCCCATTCGATTACTTAGCGGACAACTCTTGGCGCCGTCTAGCCGCGCATAAATTTCGTGCGTGCGAACGCCGCGACGGTACGGTTTCACCGAATCTATCCTCTCTCTCCTCGCGAAGATCGCGCTTCGCAGCCATGCACGAGCAGTCGCGAACAGTGCGGCTGAAAATAGTCGTTATTTGTACGACGACAGTCAGAAAGAGAGAGAGAGAGAGAAAGAAAGAAAGAGAGAGAGAGGGGGGGGACCTTTTTTTCATTCCACGCTGTATCGCCCTTAGCCACCCTTAGATCCGCCCCACGGCGGATCTGCTACGTTTCAAATGTCCCGACAGTATCTCCGGCCTATAAACACGAACGGAAATATACTCCACTCTCCCCGCGGCGGTTGCCCATTCGAGGCAGCGCGTAGTGGTTAGTTTCATTCACAGCTAATCCCCACCCCCGCGTGCCGCGGGATCCCCGCGCGTTTTAATACGCGTGCATGTTTTCGGACGTGCGGACGGACGTGGCTAAACAAACTGTACTGTACTGTACTTGGGTCCCTCATTCCGAAGTCCGATTGGCGCGACGGTGAAATTTTATGCTTTTACGATGAAACTGAAGGAAAAGCATAATTAATTTCGTCGGGACGAAAAATCGTCGAGGAATCCGCGCTGTCATTGTGTGTCACTTAACGAAGGCTATCGAGGATAACGCCCCCCAATCGGCGCTCTGACTTGCAACGATAAAATTCTTGTTAAAAAAAAAGAAGAAAAAACGCGACGTGTACTCGAGTCGTCGATTATAAGGCGATCAAGTGGGGATTGCGAATCGCGTTGATTGCCTCGGATGACTTTGTTATCGCGCCAGAATTATATTTATACACATTTCTCACGTATCGGGACGTCTCTTCGCTACAAAGAATTTCGTTCGAGCTACAATACAATATCGCGCAATTCCAGCGAGATATTTCGAGAACTTCCACGAATGCAACGTGTATATATTTCTGTCGAGTAGTTAGATAAAACTAAGCTTGAGATATCCAGTTCCGCATTTTTTTTTCGAACTTGAATGCGATCTTCTGATATTAGTCTTTTACACGGAAAGAACGATTTTATCGGATAGAGATCTGAAAATAATTTTGTTGAAAATTCAAATTGGTTGCTAGAATGTTTTACAGCAATGCTCGTCATTTTTGAGCTTCCAATAAGATTATTTTAATGGTCCAACAAAATCACTTTTAGATCTGTTTATCCAGCAAAAATTTTAAATCTTCCTGCAATCGCCGATTCCTTCCGTGTATCGCGATGACTGATGAGTCTTCCGCGTTCAGACAATCGTAATAGCGATTAACGGGACATGAAAGTGAATCTTCTTGTAAGGTAAAAAGCTCAGCAATTTACTCGCTTTTGCTCATTTCAACGAATCGTTCATGTACCTACACGCGCATCTACTTTATACGAGGGGGTAAGACCGGTTTAGAAGTGAGACGAGCGACGTGTCACTGTGCAGCTCGCGCGAGCGGATAGAAAAAATCCCTGAAAGCCACTATTGACACGTGGTAACATGTTGCGCGGAAAATGCGTCGTTCATCGTGATTCTTCGCCGGATAATGCTCACCAGAGTCGACGTCTAAACGCGCGCGCGCGCGCGCGCATGTCGGATGTGCACTTCATTGCACACTCCGTGCAGCAGCTCGTCGTTCGCCCGCGTCTCTCGCGGGCATCGTGCAGTTGTATGTACATATACGCATGTAGAAGGGAACTAATCTCGAGGCGCATGCAACACGTGCACGCGCGGACACACAGGCGGACCGCCGCGCGCCGCGCCGCACGCCCCGCGTCGTCGCGCGCAAAACCGATAGTAAAATGCGACTTAATAGATGGCCGTCATTTGCGTCACGGACAGCGGCGATTAATAAAACCGATCTCGCGGTGAGTGGCTGATACGACGCTTTATTAGGGATAAAAGGATTCGACATGGTACAGCTGCGCGCGCTTTTGATCCTTCCGTATTGAGAGACCGTAATCGCTTGACGACGACGACGGAAAATGTGAGCGAGCGTGCACGAAGCCGTCACGCGTGGTAAAGCTCGTTGACTATATTTCGCGAGAGAGGACGTAAGAATGTTACCTCGGGGTAGGCGATTTTACTTCACTCCGTGAGATCGACGCGGGTGCAGGTGGGAGGAGGGACCCGCCGAGCGCTCAGAGCGTTAATAAATCGACGGTCGCGCGCCGTGCAATCAAAATCCGCCGCGATCGGCCTCTGCAATCTGCGCGTACGCGTACGTGAAATCGAGAAGAAAGGAAAGGAGGGAGGAAAGGAGAGGGGGGATGGGGGTGGGGGACCGGGAAGCTGCCGAAATTACAGCCATTATCGCGATAGAGGTGAGAACCGACCGATGTTTGCTTAACCCGATCGGAAATCGACGAGAGGTCGAGCACGATCTCCTCCCCCGATTCCGCGTACCGATTCTGAGCGGCGGGAGAGGAATAAGGAGCCTAACAACGAGAGAGAGCCGTTGTTGTTCACCCCGAAAGATGGGCGGACTGCGCCGTTTAACCCACGATTTAACGGGGCGTATCCCGCGAAACGGTGCAACCACGATTTACGATCTCATGTTCCACGGCTCGTACCGTCTATACAGGGTGATTTCACTCAATCGCATTCGCTTTTAGGTGAATACTACAAATAATTGAAGAGGCTAGAGTTTAAAAAAAAAAGACGATTAATTCGATACCATAATGAATAAGTAGTATCCACTGTTGGAAGATTATTATAGCAATTTATTATTGAACAGAAATGTACAGTTGTTTGTATACACCTCGTATATCGCTCCCTTTCTCTCTTCCTCCCTGTATTTTTAGCGACTTTCCCTCTCAATCTCTCTTGCTTCTTTCAATCTCGCTCGACGCGTATTTATTTATTTCTCGCAGTGGTATTACAAGATAATCATCGTCGAAATGTGGCATGGCAACGCGCACGCGTTAAGGTTGAATGTCTCAAATTTGTTTGCGTTGCACGCGGCCGGTGACGTCGAGATAAAGCCTCTCTCGCATGTATGCACGCGTCCGCAAGGATATCGCCGATATCGCGTTTCCCGTTTTTTCCTCCCCTTTTTTCTTCCTTATCTATACTCAAGACTAGTTAGCTCGGAGCCTCGTGTTCCAGCTCGTGTATATACTTGATTATGTTAATTTCGACACGCGGCGTGAAAAATTAACGGCGCGACTCGGTGTGGCGGTCAATCAATAAATTATCCTGTCAACGATTTCGCACAAACCCGAGCGATTGAATAATTATCCGCGAAATACTTTCATTCTCGGCTGTGAGAATGAATCCAGATCGCGATCGCTTACTTCGCTCTTAATTTATACAATAATTAAGAGAAGTATATTACAGCCTCTTGAGTTCATATGTCGGATATATGTCACGTTTGAGAATATTCGAGATTAAATATTATGCAAACATTTTTGTTGTACGACGCGACAATTTACGTCGTACTTGATTACTTATGCGTAATTTCTTAAAGAAAAAGGAGCACTCACCAGAACGAAGCTTTTAACGTATACGGATTCCTGCGTGGCTGCACAACTCAAAGTCTGCAAAGATCGAAGTATTCAGATTCTGTCGCAGCAACACCACGAACGTCAAGTTTTCCTCAATGTCTAACAGAACCCTTATGGGGACTTCACGGAAACTTTTCAGAACGCTTGGTCGAAGATCTTGAAACGGAGATTCCCTCGGGAGATCCCTTGGTCGGACCGTGGTGATCGAGGGTATTTGCGAGCAGTTCGTGTGTGAAGTGAAAAAAAAAACGCGAGTCGTCGCGCGAGTTACTCGACGTGTACACTCCTCGAGATATTATTGTCGACGGGTTTGCCTTCGAGATCTAAGCAAATGGATTCTCCAACCGTATGGAGCTCGAATAACGGTACCGGACGTTTTCGCGCGTTCGCTCGGAGAAATGTCACTCGATCCTCTTCCACTTTGTCGTCGCGACACCAGACAAACTAATCGAGAAATTCGTTCGCCTTGAACCTCCCCCGATGACTTTCGCCGTTCTCAAACCTCGCCACGACCTCCATTCACTCTTGACGTAAGTCTAAAATGCTCTTTCTCTCTCACGTTGCATCGACGCGGTTATCCCTCGTCGGAACGCATAATTATCGGCCGTGGCCGTTTTCTGCGGAGAGAGCTTCCGAGAAAATCACAGATGGGCCGTCCACGAACTTCCCTGAATCGCATGGATCACGAAAGATCCGGTGGCGGGCCCCCTCCCTCTGGACGAATTTCAAAGGCGAGGCGCGACGGGGTCCTCTCGCATGGCACACTTATAACACACGCGAGAAACGCGTGGTGTGACGTTACGCAAATACAGGCGACACATACGACGCGGACACGTTTGATCGTAAATAGACACGTTGACACCAACCGGGCACCGACCGACGGACTCCGAAGATCCGCGCCGAAGTCACGAAGCACGCACTTCGTTTTCTCACCGCGGTAACGAGAGGCGGGAAGAAGATCGTAGGTGAAGGAAGCGGCGCAGCCGGCGTGTTATCTCGTATAGTGTAAACGCTCTTCTCGCTGGTTCTTGCCTCTAGTTTCCGTTCGTTCGGCGAGAGAAATGCGAGATGCATAATTTACGTGCATTACGTGAGATATATGATGGTCTCGATCGAGAGAAGAAGGAGGACTATACGTTGCTTCCTTTCGATCATGCCTCGGCGCCGATGGCCTCCGGCTCCAGTAACGCCAAACGGGGGTGCCGAGGGAGTGTCGTCCTCTCCCGTAATTATATTCTCCTCTTCTCGCCGCGGGAGTGACAAATCGTCGCGCTCGCGCTGCCGCTACGCGTTCCACGCGCTATATCTTGACGCTCTCGGCAATAAAATAGCGATTGCCGATCGCACGATGACGTTACATTGACGCCCGGCGTGTCGTCGGCACGACATAGCGCCGAAAGGCGATCGATGATATTAGATTACTTGTCGTTGCCGATCGTCGGGGAAGTCGCGTTGAAAAATATTTCCCGCGATATTTCCGCGCCGCGATATTTCTTCCGCGAAACCAGTCGGTCGTGAACTCGTCGGGAGAAATCGTCGTCGTTTCGGAGATAGGACAGGATTTTCTCGATCGCGCGCGATCGACTCGGCGCAATTGCCGATAATAGACACGTGTCTCGCGGCGTTCCCCGGTTTTTTTCCCCCTTTTTCCCCGCCGGCGTAACGGAGAGAAAGAGAAAGAGAGAGATCTCGCTGGCGCCGCTGCACGGCGTTCTATTCACTTCCTCCCGCGAGAAAACCACCTCTGGTCGGTCCGGCGCGCAACAACCGTCTCTCGGTGCCCGTTTACGTAACCATGCCAAAGAGCGCAGCGTTAATCGCGTCTCCCTCGCGATGTCGCGATTCGGTGCGTAGCAGCAACAGTGTGCAGCGTTATCGCGTTAACACACGGGAAACGACTCCGCCGTCGCACCGTCTCAGCACTGTTCCGAGACACCGAGTCTCTCTTCTCGCGATCGAGGCGCGATCAAACTGGTACCGCGAACGATCGCGACATACGGAGCTCGATAATTGCGACACGTGTCACTTCACAGATTCTACGAACGTTGTCCGCCGCCAGAGAATCAGACTTGGAGAATTCACTATCCCTTCGATTATTCCTGACACTTCTATACTCGATCGCGATCACTTTCACGCAACTCCTTTTTTTTTTGTTGCTTCCGCTCGTTCGGCGGAAAATCACTGCTGCCTTCTTCAGAGTGACGAGTCGTCGGCACGGACTAGCGGACTCCGGAATTCAACACGTCGTGAAATCGGAACCGATACACGGCTGTAATCCGTCCCCAATGTCAAGAGACGCGAGCGGCGACACTCGGGCGGAAATCAGGAGTAGCACTGACTCGCTCCGGCCGAGGCGACGCGGCGATAGGCAAGGTCCTCCCGCTGCGTGCCGCACGCAGCGGCGACTTCCCGGGGGATGCGAGTCGTCGGCAGGGTGAAAGGTGTTACTTTGGCAGATGATCCTCTCACTGACGCATCTGACGCGTCTTTATGCTAGGCGCGCGACGGACAAACTCCCTTAATTGCGAAACGAAACAAGAAAGCGGCGAAATACCCAGCGCAAATACGCTCTGCGATCAACTTCGTCGTGAGAATCACGACACGTCCCGTAGCGATGCGGCAGCGAACCGACGTCGCGCGACGTTCGTCGTCTCGATCGAGCTTGTTAATCGTCTCTCGACGTGGCGATGCCTCCCAGGCCCGCGGCTACTACGCCTGCAACGTTCGGCGATGCGTCTCGCCTGCTGCTCCGCTCGGAGTGAGCCGCCGCGGCGCTTGCCGCTCGTCCCCGCGCGTGCTGGGGTGGCAATTCGGCGATCGACGATGTGTACTCCTGTGATCGTGACCAGGTCGACGGGGCGACGCATGGCCATACGGCGAAGACACCGTATGGAGAACACCGGCGGATGACCGTTCGTTGACTGGCGGCGCGGCGCGAGCGTGAGGCGTGAGCGAGCGTGCGTTGTGGCTTGCGCGCCTTGCGAGTGCGATGTGCGCTGGCTGGCTGGCCGCGCGCGCTGTATGTCCGTGCTCTTTCTCGCCGGCTCGCCGCGGCGCGACACGGAGCGCATCGGCATCAGTCGGCTCCTCTCACAAACCGCCGGCACCACCACCAGACAGAACCCCAAAGCCCGGCACGTCGCGCGCTCCCACTCTCCCCGCGCCACGGACACCGTCCTTCCCCACCATCGCGTCGGGATGCCGGCATCCCCGGTGCCGACGACGGGATCCCACCGGCACGCGAATAACAAGCGAGTTTTTTCGCTCGGTTTCTGCGACCCGCGTCTACCCTCTCGAGCCAGCGATCTCGCGCGAAAGTCCGATGCAATGTTAATGATCCGTAAATTTTTGAATAGCGTGAATTTACTGTATATAATTCAGAGAGAACAACACATTATTAATAATTTATATAATTATTATAAGTTTAAACGACAATAACTCTATAACCGAGTTTGCTAAGCGACGTCGCAAATTTTAAGAAATTTCTACGCAATGTTTGTTATGTAATGTGAATTTCTAGGTGATTTGCAAGTCAAGTTCACACTTTGTTGTCATGGAACGATATGTATATATTAATAACGTTGAATATTTATTTGCTCTTATCTGCGCTATGATTACAAATACTTTCAAACAAGCAGTGATCTGAGTAAATTTTATCGCTCGCGCATCTATGCAAAGTAGGTATCGCTTATCGATGAACAGAATTGGAACGATAAGTTTTTGTAAAATCATGTTGTTCTATCTCTCTATCTTGTCTGAAGTGACAGGCATTTATGCAAATAACATACAGTTAGTGTAAAATGTAAAACACATGTGTTTTTTATCGATGTATAATACTTTCCGGAGCATATCTGAACCTTCACTGCGGCGATCGTGTCGTCATTACTTCTGCCGGATACATCGAAAGCGCTTGTTATAGAAAGCGTGACGCGATTTCTCCCCAAAATTACACGATGTTAAAAAAAAAAAAAATATAGCGAGATCCCAAACACACAGAGGGAGGTTTGTTTTTGCACGGATCTGACGCGTTTCTTTTAAACACCGACTGGATCCTCGTACCGGGCCACCGAATTAACTTCGCACATCGATTATCCGCGATAACATCGACGCGCTCGCAGGTACATCGCGCTCGCGCACCTTCGAATCCGCCGTTTATCGCGTCGATAACATTTCGGCACACTCAAACTAACGTGACACACTCCCATACGCGGTTTCACGGTCTTCGTGGTCTCCCTGAGCACGAAATCAGGTTCGACGCGCTTCGACCGAGGCGGCCGGGATGCACCTGTGGTGTACACGATGCCACAGCACCCAGGGCACCGCGCGCAAAACGCTGCCCCACTCTCTCGGCGTGGTGGTGAACGACGTCAGCGTCAGACCAATCTCCGGCCACGCGAACTGTCTTAAACTACTTATTTCTTCACGAGATCCGCTTTATCTCGATCCTGAAACCGAGATCTCTCGCTCGCTCTCTCGCTCGCTCGCGCTCGCGCTCCGCTAAAAATACCGCGAATGATTGCTACGTAGAGACACGCAAATTACCGGTCTGCGCTTAATTGCGGCGAAATTACGCGAGATTTAATTTTCGTTAAACCCGACTCGCGCGTTTAGTCCGCGTCTCTCGAATGCTGATACTCACTCACCGCTCACTCTATTGAGAGGTCTACCTACTTGTTGCAACGTGAACGCGCCAGTTGATGACTGCGGTCAAGGGATATTGTCAGGTAATTGTGCTCCGTCAATTTGTCTTTACTTTACGAGTGAAGCATATACAGTATTTCATATTGACAATGAAAACGTTAAGATTGGCAAAATCGGCAAGTGGAGCCTTGTAACGCGCAAAGGTCGAGAATATTAAAGTGAATTGGTTATTGCTCGCTCTCGCTTATCTCCTCTCTGAAACTGCCGTGAGAGATTGGCGTAATCTTCGCTGGCGCATCTATAAAATTATCACCGTCGCTCTCCGGCGCGTTAGACCCTCGTTGAAAGCCGAAGGTGTATATTCGCGTCCTACGAACTGATTTACGCGCATTTACTTCGGGAATTATGACGGTCCTTAGCGCGCGCGGATAAAAAGTTACGCACGAGCGATGTTAAGCGGTCTCGAAAACGTTGTCGAGGCACCGCTAAGTATCCGCGCGAATTTAAGGCCGCGACGCGGTGCGAGAAGCGGACATAACGAAATGAGTCGTAAAATATGACACTGCCCGAAGCGCTTCCTTCCTACACACGTGTGCGCGCGCGTGATCGATCTTGCCCGGTATTACGGGGGACCTTATCTCATCTTTTGGAACTCGTTTAAGACCCGTTTCGGCACCTCAGTTCTCCCGATTGCGTCCGCTTCAATTACCGACGCTCTTGTTCCAAGAACGGCCACGTCCACCGCGGAATTTACGGGTCCTGCTAATTTTACTCCTGCGCTTTTGCCTCCAAACGGAGCCCGTTCGCAAATGCGTTCTTACGCAATGTGCAACAACATGAACGTCACATTTCGAAAACGTCATATCTGCATTGTAGAAAATATAGAGGGACGATAACTTATTGTTTGGAAAAAGAAAACTGCAGTGTAACGATTTAAGAAATGAGAAAAGAATATGAGCTTCTCCCCTTTGACCCTTGAGCGAAACTTATCCAAATGCGATAAGATGTTGCGCTACAGCTTTCGATTTAACACGCAGGTATCTCCGCCAACAACCGGAGGGATCTATTCCCCTACATCGTGCGAAAGAGTGTGGCTCGAAGATCGAAGGCGAGGCTAGCCGCGATTCGTGACTTTCGCGTGTTAATTTGGCAGGGTTTTGCGTGCCGCCTGTATACTTAGCCGCGTAGATAGGCATGCACTTAACACCTGTGAGTCCGCGCGACTCGGTATAAGTATACGCTGGGCCGGTCGGCCGCTCACGAACGGCGTAGTAGACGCGGATATCTCGTGCGAGAGAGAGGCGTGTATACATTCATCCCGGCGGAAAACGACGCGGCGCGGCGCACCGACTCCGCGCCCCGGGTTCGACGGGGTGTTAAGTTCACGAGCCGCGTTAAAGCACCGGATGTTTCGCGATGCGTGCACGACCTAGCTCGTCATGCCGCTGGTAACCAGCGAGCAGTTGCGAGCGTTAACGCGCACGTGTTGACGTAAAAGCTAAGCGAAATACGCGAATCGAACCTCCCAAGGAAACGCGCGATTCTTGAGAGGACGTTGACCGGAATCGATTTGATCTTAATTTTCGACATCGCCCGCATACACTGGAACACTTTTATTTTGCAAAGTTTCTATTGATTGTTCGGTTAAGTTGTAATTTGATAATGTAAGGAATTATTATTGTTAGGGTACAGCGGGGTAATTTGAATAGTGAGATAATTTGAATAAGTAAGCATTTGCAAGAATTTCGAAAAAATAAGAGATCTTAAAATACATTTCATTAGATCAATGTCTAATCTAATCAAATGTATCTTAAAATCTCTTATTTTTTCGAAATTCTTGCAAATGCTTACTGTTATCCAAATTACCTCACTATTCAAATTACCCCTACATGTTAGTACCAAATAGTTACAAAATAATTTACGCGTCAAATTACAGAAATAGAAAATAAGATAAAATTATTATTTACAATAATTCCAATAAGGTTGCTGATTGTTAACTTTTAGCTATTTAAAAATTAAAAATATTTCGAGCACCAATATCTAGCCTCGGCTCTTTGCCCTTCAAACTGATTATTATTATAGGATAAATAAATATATATATTGACATTTTCGGTCATCGAGCGGGATCTTCAGTCATATGTCTATGATTGTTTACTTAATAAACCTATGTATGTAAATATAATATTGAGAATATAATAAAAGAATTTGTAGTCATCATTGATAGTATTGATACATGCAGCAACGAGTCTAAAAAAAAACAACTTTGTGAAGCTCAACCCTTGCACATTGATATGCACTGCAATCGCGTTCCGACCGTTGAATATTGACGAAAACACGTGACTATGCGTAGAAATTTTCGTTTCTCGATCTCTACCGTTGTCCACGAAAGTGTTGAACCATGAATATTCACGAAACGCACCGTGATGGCCGCATATAACATTCGTGCACCACGTACGAAGAGCGAATCATCGTGCCGATGTTCATGCGCCGTGTTGTCTCTGGACTCGAGATATTTGTTGTTCACGACACTATCCGCGTATAGATATCTTATTTATTTTCAATATTTTTTTCGAGATATTAAATAAGGTACTAAAGTAGAAATAACGATGCTCTATTCTCTGTCCAAGGCACGAGCAATTGCGAGAACGATAACGCGAAATCTCGTTCCCTCCTTCTGTATAGCGATAAAATCCGATAACGACCTATACCTACTGATAAACTATCTGAGAGATCGTGAGGATTGCGGGATGGATAAAAATCTACGTAAACAAATCCACACGTACGTGCTAATGAAATAATCGGCCGCCGCGTGTTATGTACGCCACATTATTTACAATAATTGTTAAATGTATATATATCTCTCTCTCTTTCAGTAAATGCACTCGCGAAGCTTGGTTTCGATAAGTGTCGGTGCCATATTTAGAACGCGAGGAATTTCGCCGGCGATAAAATTCCCTCTCTTTTCCTTTATCGGATTGCATAAACAGGGTGATTGATCGATTGTTTCGAGGCCTGCGCTCGCGGTAATTCTCACCGATAAAAAACAACGACTGTTCTCCGCGCTCATAGGCGGATAAAGATATACGCTCGTGTATGTACATATCGTTCTAAGAGACGACTTCATTAATTACTGCCGATCGAACTAGGAATTAGAATGCGCCGTTTGTTGCATATTAATGCGTGAGCTATCCATGTGCGGCGTGGCGGATGATTCTCTCTTACCTGCTCCTTATTCGCGCAAG